GTGACCAAAACACCTGACAAGAACAACTTAGAGCCCAGTGTGGTGGTACACACCTATAATCCCAGCCACTCAGGAGGCTGAGACAGGAGGATTGAGAGTTCAAAGCCAGCCTCAGCAATGTTGAGGTGCTAACCAACTCACTGAGACCCTGTCTCTAATAAAATACAAAATAGGGCTAGGGATGTGGCTGAGTGGTCGAGTGCCCCTGAGTTCAATCCCCAATAACCCCCCCCCCAAAAAAAAAAAAAAAAAAAGAAAAACTTAGAGAAGGAAAGATTTATTTGAGTTCACGGTTTCAGAGGTTCAGTCTGTGGTCAGTTGACTCATTGCTCTGGGCCCAAGGTGAGGCAGAACATCATGTGGAAGGGCATGGTGGAGGTCCATTGCTCCTCTCATGGCTAATGGGATGCACAGAGAGAGGAGCCAGGAACAAGATATATAATCCCCAAGGGCACGCCCCCAGTGGCCTAACTCCTCTAACCATGCCTCACCTGTCTTCAGTTACCACCCAGTAATTCAGTTATTAATCCATCAAATGAATTAATCCACTAATTAGATTACAGCTTATAATCTAATCACTGTACCTCTGGACATTCCTGCATTATCTAACATGAGCTTTTGGGGACACCCCATATTTAAACCCTAGCAGGGCTTCAACATATGAATTTTAGGGGAACACAAACGTTCAGTCCACAGGAGCTTTCTAGTCATTGTTCTTAATTGCTATATAGGAAACAATCCTATAAAAGGATGTATTCTACTTATAAAAGGAGCAGGCACCTTTGGACCTTTATTACCTAGTGAATTTCCTGCCACATGTTAGAGTTTTAATTACTGTTCATTGATGAAATAATTCAGGCAAACATCTTTTTTTTTTCTTTGCCTTTTTGCCTTTTTGTGCCTGTAGTTTTCTTGGGGCTGTTAAGCCACAAGTCTTTTCTTTCACATTAAGTGACCAGTAGTAATGTTTCAAGAAGGTGTAACTTTGGTAGACTCCAGGAACATTGTTTGAATAGTGGCAGTACCACTAAATTAAGCATGAAGAATAGAGGCCAGATAATGAAGAGGGCAAGGAGAAGTCACAGGAAATCTGGGCTAAGGATAATTGCTATTATTAAGCATGGAATTTAGGTCTGAGCTTTCTGTCAGGACAAAAAAGGAAAACATGATGCTACATATTTCTCATTATCTATTAAGTTATTTGGGAAGGGGACCTTTTTGCCTTAGAACTAAATACAAGGAGGAATTCATTGCGTGGGTCATGGAAGGAGGAACTTTGAACAATGTCTAGATTGTCATTAGCAATAGTAGTAATTTTTAGGAAAGAAATACTGAAGTTCTTTGTGTTAGTTTCTTATAGACTTAGTGAAATACCAAGTTACAGTACTAAATTATCTTTTAATGCAATATTTCTTCTGATAACGCAAAGTGTGAAATGCAACTATGCAATTTTCTGGTGATTTACCTTAATACTGCCAGCAGCAAAAAAAAAAAAAAAAAAGAAATGAGAAGAGATGTGTCTACTCAAAGAAGAGTCTGTATCTTGGTAATGAACTCAAGGAATCTCTCACCTCTGATTGCCATTGACATGACTACTAGCTGAAACTTGTAAGCAGCTGTTTTTAACCTGGAATTACTTACCAAAATGAATCGAGATAGAGGGACTTTAAACAGTGTTTGAAAACATGGGCAGCCATACTCTTTTAGTTTGGACATAATCCTATAGAATGATTTATTTTATTTGAAATGGGAGTCAGGATAAGCTGAGAAATTCCTGAAATGTTCAGAGCTCCTTATTCCCTAAACAGTGAATGATACATAATTGAAAACATAGGACCAAATGTTAATGAGTTATATGTATTGTTCAAAATAAAGACAAATTGCTGTTTAACACTTAGTTGCTACTATTTTATCTCACATTGCTAATGTTTGTCTAATCCTTGGATTTACAGGCTTTACATTTTTAACTTCCTGTTAAACTAATCAACAAAGCATATAAAAATCTTAGAGCAAAACTCTGCTCATATCATTTCTAAATGTCCTTAGGAATTATGCAGTTAGGTCACTTCCGCGTCTCCTTCCAAAGCATGCTTTACTCTAATCTTGAGTATGTTAATGTAATACAGCAGGTTTCCAGTTTTTGATCATGACTCACAACAATGCATGTCGTGGTGCAGCTTGGATATAACTGAAACCAAAGTTTAATAAAGTAGTTCTTGCCCTTATTATGTAAGGTGCATTCTGATGCTTTCTTTCATAAAGTGCTGGTTTCCATCACCAGTAAATTGCTTTCCTGATCAATGAATCCTGACTGGCAATCTGAAAAGTCACCAGCCGGGTGCAGGTAGTGGTAGACAAGGAATTAAGGGTGCCTTGTTCCGGGGTCCTAATCCTATGTTTTTCAATTACTGCCCCTCAAAAATCTCCACAAAATCCTTGATCTTCTCCAGACCCTGTTTCCTCATTCATAATGTGAGGGGTTGGACTCTTAACTTTGTTCTCCATGGCTCTTGCTGAAGGACATCTCTGGATTCAGGGTGGAATCTCCCAGAGTGTTCAATGAATGATGAAATCCATTCATGCTGCGACAGTGACCTCAGGTCACGAAGCTTCACATTTGCTCTGTCTTGAGATGAGAGCCAGTTGTTCTTTAGTCAGCTATAATTGTGAAGCATAACCATTCTCTGGTTCTAAAGCTCTAATACAAGATGTTCCTTCCCCCACTACTCCTGCTGGCTTTTTAGATTTCTTATTTGTGTCTATATTCTTGAACGTGTTAATGGAAGTCGGAAAATTTTATAATCAAGGATTTGACTGTGAGAGGTTCCCCATTACAAATACCCATTTCATGTTTTCTAGGAGTTGGTTTTCTTCTCTCTCTCTCTCTCTCTCTCTCTCTCTCTCTCTCTCGTTCTTTAGCTCCTCTGACTTGAAAATATTCTTGCCTGTGGATTAAGGATGAAGGAGTGGGGTTAGGGGGATATTTACAGCAGGCAGAGCCAGAAATGGCTTCCCATCAGCAGCTAGTTAAAGCTGTTTGTTGGTTTCTCTGCTGGGTACCAGGTCCAGTGCTAACCAGCTGTAGCACTGTCTCTGCACCTCCCCTCAGTGAGACTATAAAATATACTTTGCTATCACCAGGGATCTTTGTAGTGTTTGGCTCTGGTGTCTGGAGGATTCTGGATGGAACCCAGCAGGACGTGATCTGCAGGGCCGATGAAGCCAACCTGGTAGGACTCTTTGAGTAGCTGCTGACGGAGCATCCAGGTCAGGGAGAGAAAGGGAGGGCCTCGGCAACAGCTTCTGAAGATAACCCTCTCTTCCAGCCAGGGCTTGGAGAGTGAGCTCACGTGACCTTTCCCTCCAGGTTGGTTCTCTCTTGTTGAACAGTTTAGGGCCAAAGAAAATATCTTCCAGGCAAGGGCAAAGCAAGTGAGGAAGGGAAGGGTGTGCTCTAGTTTTTGGAAAGTAGGAAAAAAAGTAAAATCCCAGCTCAGGTGCATATTAGCTGTGGGGCCTTGGGCACGTTTTCTGAGTCCCAGTTTTCTCACATATAAACTGAGGCTAATGCTAAATATGTCCAGTTTGTAAGGTGGCTTTCATGAGTAAGGTGGGTGGTCAGGACAAGGGAATCTTCTTGCTGGGTAACACAGATTGCGCTTTGCTAAAATAAGAGTGTTGGAACTAAGACCTGGCTTTGGAGCATGAGAGTGAAGGGGGTCAGAGCTGAATGAGGAAACAAGAGGGAGGAAGAAAGGGTGGAGCTCTCAACCTCAAACACTCATTTGGGCACGTCTTTGGGGTGGCAGACTGCCTTGCTTTGCACTACAAGAACCATGCCTTTTTATTACATGTACTGAGGAAGCTAACCCCCCTGAGCTGTCTTCTTTATGGCCAATGACCCCCTTTCTCTTTTTTAATGATAACCAATGACTCATTTGAGAAGTGTTTCCTGAAGAAAACCTTTAGAGAGGTTTGCACCGGCACTCCACAGCGTGCTGTGTTCCTAAGCCATGATGTTTGGAAGTTAGATGTACTCAATGCATTTCTGACATGGTATGTTCCATTTAGAGTGGGTTTATCAGGATGAAACCCCATTTGAAGTTGAGAAGCCCTTGTGGGATGGGGATGTAGCTTGTACTTTGAAGGGGGTTAGAGCTGAGGAAGGCCAGAAGATGCTATTTCTTTTACTTGGCATCTTGCAGTGCTAGAGGATTTATGTGATTAGAATACATTTTTGGTATTATTTGTAGAATCAAGATGCCTTAACCGGGGGGCTTTTTTGCCCCTGTGGAATAGAAATCCAATTAGGAGCTCTTTGTGCTCTGCCACCAATCATTACACGTCTACATTTTACTCTTATAAAATATGGATAATGACATGACTGTCTCTTAGGAATTTGAGTGCATCATCTAAGGATCAAGAAACCTTAGAAATAGGAGATTCACATGAATGCCTAAAGCTTTTGTGATCACACATTTGCATTGTTTTGCTTGACATTCTTGAAAGTTGTGCTGTTGACATGAGAACACTGGGGCTGATCCCGTTTTTCTTGTAAGAGTAAACGCTGAAGGAATAAGCTCCAGGAGTGCTTAGCACAGATAGGTTGACCCAGTGTCTTATGGAAGTCCTGAAGTAGCTTGGGCTGGAGTGGCTGGAGTGGTTTGGTTTGGGCTGAAGTGGAAGAAGAGCCTAAGCTACTGCAAAGCACTGCAATTAGAAAATATCAGGACTTGAGCACAGTCTTCCCGTGCAGGGAAATGATGTGGATGCTCATATCCTTTGTGACAGTGTCTTTAGTCATCCATTGTGTAGAAACATAGATTTTCCTTTTCCCTCTCCAGATAATTACTTTAGAACCTAACATAACAAATGGTAACATTTTTAATTCCTTGACTAGAAGATTAAAAAAAATAGATATTTATTTTCGAAAGCGTCACAAATAGTAGCTGGACAGTGTACCATATAATAGCTGATGTTGCTTTTTTTTTCCATTTCAGGCAGTGGAGCTACTGCTGTGGTTCAGGCTGCCCTATGCAAGCCCAGGCAAGAACGTGTAGCAATAAAGCGGATCAACTTGGAAAAATGCCAGACCAGTATGGATGAACTATTAGTAAGTACAAGAGAAGGGGTGTCTGCTGCTGCACTTTCTTAACCCATGGGTGTTCGGAGTTGGGTGGGAGAAGATCAGAGTGGGTTGGTGTCATCTTCTATCTTGACACCTATATTTCTTAGGAAGCAGCCCTCACCGCTCCCCTGCTCCCCTTATTAACTTCCTTGCTCTATTATTGTGTCATCTAATGTTCACCTTACTTTGCTTTTGACAAACAGCATTTTGCTCAGTCTGCCTAATCCTAGTGGTCTCACGTGTTGACACTCTATTTTATGCATCAAGAGAGCACATTCTGTAGGATGCCTGAAATCAGTGATTTCAGACTGCAGAGTTGGATGATGAGCTTCTGGCCCTCCCTCTAGAGTGTATGGCACACATAGGAGTCACTCCCCCAAATATTTCTTAGTCCTTTTGGTTTTCAGAAATTACAAAATCACATACAAATTAAAGATGTTTAAAACAATGCATGGCAGCTTGCATTTGGTTGATGGCAGGAGTTTGTTTTTCTGACATGGTAACTTGCATTTTTTATTTGGGATGAAGGATGTTGCTTAACTAATTGGAGCTTTTTGGTGTGTGTGTGACTGTAGGAGCATCAGTTGGTTGAGGAACATTTGCTTTGCTTTTGGCTTAACTGACTCATTATTAAATGAACAGCTTGGCAAATGGTTATTAGTTGCCCAGCAAACTGTGAAGGGTTTGAGAGTTTAATCTCATAAATATAGTTGTCGTTCTGCCTGCCAATTTTCTTTCTTTTTTTTTTTTTTTCCTTTTGGCCATTTGTTGAGGATAATAGAAAACTGAGGTGGAGGAGTTAACTGATTGGTTATCCCAACACTAATCCCAGTACAAATATTAGTCCAATAGCTCCATACAAGCTACAAAGTATAATGACGGTTGGCTCCAAATAAAGAAGCCTTTTGTTATAGTCTACATTGGGAATGGAATGTCATTAACAAGAGCTTTTTGTCTTTACTCAGAATATAGCTTTTATTTCGGGCTTAATTACAGTACACTATAGTATAAATTAAGCACAAGGATGAAGCTGTACTTTTCCAGATCTGTTTGGCCTTCCATTTTAAATTAGGCTACATAATGCATAGATTTCGCTGGGGGTGATTGCTGGCCAAAACTTAGATGAAAGCTATGGCTTCCACAATTCACTGTTGATTTTAAAATCCCACCTATATTTAAGAATTTTGCTCTTAAAATTTCAGCTGTGCTTTGCTCTTATGGAAATTGCTACCGCATGCTTGTCTATTTCTTATTATTGTGGTGACCAGTAAAATTGTAACTTTGTTATCTAACCAGTTTTCAAGGTCACTTCCCCTGAGTGGGAAAAGTATTGAAAACACTGTGGGGAGAGTTGGGTCCTGCTTCTGCCACTAACTTGTTTTTAACTTTAAGAGCTCTGGGTTGTTTTAAAAGAACTGAATTGGAAGATCTCTAAAATGCCTTTAAGAGTCCTCAGATTCTGTGGCTGCACATAAATGTACATTAACTTTTTTTTTTTTAAAGTTTGGAGTATTGGAGTATGCATTAAACTTATGCACTGTTTGGCTATATCAAGAAATAGCACCTGATGTTAGTGGTTTTGGGGGTGCTGTGTTGGAGGTCCCAGCTATTGGCAGAATATTTCTGTGGGATATGTTTAAAGTTCTTGTGCACTTGTGTGTACTTGGTGGTCCTGGAACCAGCCTCCTAGGCCAGATGGATCTCTGGTCTCTGATTTGTTAAGTCCTCAGTTGCCCACAACCTCCACATTTTCATCAGCAGTTGGCTGCCTGCCAGGCATGGGAGCCATGTAAGGGTCCAAGCAGAGGTCAGCAGGGAGATGATAATTCTAGTGCTGTCCCCGGTTTTCTTGGGGCCAGTTATAGCAGTATCATTTGAAGGTACTCGTACGTAACATAGCTGGCTGTGTGAGACTGGTATTTTTATGACTGTATGCTTAGCTCCATTAGTCTGATTTATGAGTTTTCCTATTAGCAATGGTTAATTTATTTCTCTCATCCTTTTTATTCTCCCAATGATGCCCAGTTGTAATATAGTGTGTATGCATTGTTATTTATTTTTCACGAGAAAAGGATACTAAACCTAATAAATTTATTACTTTGATCTTTCCTTAACCTTGAACATTTGACCTTTTGCTGTCTTGATATATTTAGAGAAGAGAAGAATGGGTTTTGGTTTTTAAGGATGTACTACTCCTAAGTCCTTTTCAAACAAAGAGAAAGAGAACTTATAGTATAGTCTTTCTAAGGTTGCCAGACTTTTGTGGTCTAGTTTATTGACACATGAGATCCTGTGGAGCAAAGTTGCTGTCGTCCTTTCAACTTCTAATACTGCTGTTGCTTGCACTTTTATTATTTCTGTGGGTTCACATTTTGACAGTGTTTGGACATCCGGCATCCTAATAATCCTTTAAATCCATGGGTGTGTGTTATATACAGGTCAGTGCACTGCATCATCTCACAGACTGTGCCATGAGTTAACTGGAAACCATTGTTCTTCGAAGAAACAATGGCCACTGGGTCTTTATTTTGTGAAAGTGTTATGTCATAGAAGTCACAATTATCAACTATTTGCTGGCTGTTGGGGCAACTGCCTCTTTTGATGCAAGTGTCACCTCCCAACCCCCAATCCCTGCCTCATCCCTACTCACCCCAGCCCCTCTGTCCTGATCTCCCATTCCCTGCCCTGTCCCCACCTCCTTTGTCCAGAGGCCAGGTGTGATACCATACAATAGTTTTGGACATTTAGCCTTAGCCTGCTTCTTTATGTCAGCAGACTGTCAGCACATGTTTCTGTGGTCCTGGAGTCGGTTCCACATTTTGCTGAAGAAAGATCCAAGTCTTCCTTGTTTCTGAAACAAAGTGCTAATTGCAGTGCTGGCTTCTCTGAGAATTGAAGGGAGGAAAAGAAAAGTTAGATGAGATCATTGGCACTAAATAATTGGTGATTTAAACTGAGACTGTTGAGTAACATTTCTCAAAAGCCAAGGTAGTTATGTATCTAAGATACATTTATTTATTTATTTGGCAGATGTGGAATTTCTATTGTGTGTTTAGGGATAAGTTTGGAGTGCTTATGTGGGAGTGCATGGTTGTATACTCACTAAAAACTGCCTTTAACAGCGATTAGGATAGAGCACTCCTAGGATAAATGTTTTTATTGGAATGATTTGAGGAGCATTCAATTAATCTAAACAAATTCTTTTTCTATACATTCTTTTGAATTTTCTTATGTTGTGGAATTTGGCCCTCAGCTGATCCTAATCTCTCGGGGTGAAATGATCTGGTTAATGGGGTTTTGCTGGTTATTTTATATACTCCTGACTACCCAGCACAGATGCACTAATAATTTCTGAGATTTGTTAATCCTATATTTGTTGTTATTCCCACTTTTGTCAATCCCACTGTGGAATAAATGACTAATTTTATAATCATCCTAACACTCTTTAGGAGATATTTATAGTTTTAGAGCCGGAACTTATTAACACCATAATTATTAAACCCTGCTACATGCTAGACATTGAGCTCAGTGATGGGAAAACAAAGAGAGTCTCTGTCCTTTGAGGAGCCCACGGACTAGTAAATGAGTATCTAAACTTTTGTGTTGGCAAGATATTTATTATTCATTTATTTATTATTTTTAATTTTTTTTTTGGGGGGGTACCAGCCATTGAACTCTCAGGGGCACTCGACCACTGAACCATATGCCCAGCTCTATTTTATATTTTATTTAGACACAGGGTCTCACTGAGTTGCTTAGTGCCTTGCTTTTACTGAGGTTAGCTTTGAACTCAGGATCCTCCTGCCTCAGCCTCCTGAGCAGGTGGGATTACAGGTGTGTGACACCATGCCCAGCAAGACATTTATTTTTTATTTTTGACTTTTTGCAACACTGGGGATTGAATACAGGGCTTTACACTACTGAGTCCATCCCCATCCCTTTTTATTTTGTATTTTGAGTCAGAGTCTCACTAACTTCCCCTGGCTGGCCTTGAACTTGTGATCCTCCTGCCTCATGAGTAGCTGGGGTTATAGGCATGTGCCATTATGCTGGCCTGATTGGTGATATTTTTGAGCTACAGATATTTTTCTGCCCCCTTCTCTACTATTTACCTAGTAATAGTTTAGCAGGTTAGTGGACATATTACTGCTCTCCAGTAAGTATCCCATTGAATGGGGGCGGGGGGTCCTCGCTTTCCAATAGGAATTTAAGACTTGCTAAATGGGTCTAACCTACTATCTTGCAGACTAATATATTCTATGTAAAGATGGCCTTGCTTGAGGTTTCTAGAAAGAGCTTGGTTCTCGTGTTTGTGGTCAGCCTCAAACGTTAAGGGTGCTACCCTAGAGCACATGTGATTTCCTTGAAATTCACTCCATGAGTAGACAATCAGTCCTTTTTGAAGTCATCTGTCTTTTTAGCCTCTCTTAATGGGTGCCAAAGTAAATGCCATAGATATGACATAATCCTTCTTTTGATTTACCCTAAAACACACTCTCCCCAGCCTTTAGGATGCTCTCCTTGATTTATCCAGGGATTGATGAACATTTTGGTTCATCTCCTTACTTACCTTATGACTCGTAGGCCTTAACCATATCCCTCTTGGCCTTTTTCTCTAGACTTGAGTTCTCATATGTTTAGTGTGTCTTTGGTACCTAGCCACAGAAAACTCAGCCTCAATCTCTCATCTTTACACATACATCAACACCATCAAAACTTTACAGTGATAGAGGTAGGAGAACTGTACTTAGATACTTATGGGAGAAATCATAGCCCAGGGGCCAGGCAGAGTATTCTTTTCTTTTTTTTTTTTTTAAAAGAATGAAAAAAAAAAAAAAAGAAAGAAAAGGAAAAGGAAGAAGGAGAAGAAGTGAGAACAAAAAAAGGAAGAAGGCCAAAAATATAGTTGTGATTATTATGAAATTATGTAATGATCATTAAAATATTTTAGTTGTACTGGATGACAGATGTGAACAAAGTCATTT